CACTTAACTTCTCTAGTCCAGGGTTTCCTCTTTAATTAGTGCTCCTGGTTTGAATTGTTGAGAATAACTGGCCCACTAACTTGAACATCTGACTTGTACATTCCTGAACAAGGAAATCTTGATTTATAGTACTTGGCACAAATAGTCTTGAACACTTGGGATAATTAAAGAGCAGATGCTAACAGAATGGTAGTTTGTTACCAGTTCTTGACATGTTGTACTTACTTGAACTTTCATTTTTACTCTGGATATCACAATAGCAGTGCACATTTCTAGCCATGTTTGAGATGTGCTTTGACAGTGATCAAGATGCTAACTGTCTGTAAATATTTATTCAAATTCAAAAAGAGAGAAGAGCTGCTTACTATACTATGAACTTATCTAATAGATTTATTTTATTTTAATAATGGATAAGTTCAATGAAAGTAGAGGTTAGTTTTTTTCTTTGTTTTATTCATTGATACACAACGAGCACCCAGAACAGTGCCTAGAACATAAGAGTTACTCAATAAACATTTGCTTCATGAAAAAAATCTACATATAAAATGCTAAAAATATGAAATGTTTTTTCTTTCCTAGATCAGTCAGATCCCCTCCCAGCGTATGAGTAGTATATATTATTTGAGGATTCCCTATATTTATACACCCTCCCTATAAGATTTATCCCTGCCCTTTGCCTGGGCCTTATAGCAAATCCTTTGTAGCAGGATAGGGAGCATTTGACTTGTTTTGTTCATCGCACATAAGCATATGTGATGTACACCATGTCCCAGAAGAAGCTTGAAGAGTGATTGCATGTTTCTGCTCTTTTCCTCTGTCACAAGAAGAAAGCATGTCCCACATGGGGGTTGCTTTTTCAGCCTAAATCCTAGAATGAGAAGATGTGTGGGTAAAACCTGGAGCTCATCTGCAACATGAGTGACAACTGACTGTTTTTGTCGCAAGCCAGTGGGATTTGATGATTGTTTATTATCTCATCGTAACCTGGTGAAGGCCTGTAGGAATTTCTGAAGAAGTGTGTGAAAGATAGCATATAAAACTGATTTAAAAGAAAAAAATGTAGTATGTTTTTCTTTATAGAAGTATTAAAGCTGTTCTTGAGAAGGTGAGGGACACAAGGTTCACAAATGATAAATATCCTTTGGTATGATTTTAAGATTTTCATATTATCTATGTTCTCAGCCATGTGCCCAGAGATGACACAAAATAGAGGCTTAGTGGATGTTTGATGCTTGAATGCTTTATTTTGCATTTGGGGGGAGGGAAGGAATAGGCAGAGGAGAGTTGTTAAGAAAGAAGCCTGTGGAGATTAGTGGCAGACTGCAACAACATTGATTAATTTTGGAATATGATAATATTTTTGCCTTTTAGATACCTACAGAAGTAATGGGGGGGGGGCAGAAAGCAGGTGGTAGACACCAGAAGATAGTTGCTGCTGACATTTCCATTTCTGACTCATGCTGGCCTTTAAGGAACAGTTTATTCTTGGGAAACAGGTATTTAACTTTTGATTTCAGTTTAATTCATTTAATTTACTCAGTATTTTACTGAGAATCCACCATGTGCTAGTTATTATACCAGGATAAAGTATGAGCAATACTCATAAGATTTCACTAGGTCTTCCTCAGCTTCCACATCCATGTGATCTATTTACCCTAAATTATTCCACAAATTTTCATATCCAAGATATCTCCTCCAAACACAGTCTAAATTCATCCTCAACACAATTTGAAATCTCTTACCATCTCCCTCCCCATAAGAAGCATAAATAGTGCAAGGGAGAGTAGAAAGGGTGGGAACAGGGTCATAAAAGCACATTCTAGAAAAGTAGCATCTTAGCTATAATCTTTAAGGCAAGAAGAGACTTCGTTAGAGGAAGGAATATGAAATATGTTAAAGAGTGGCACTCTTGTACATGGGACCTGGTTCCCGCCCCCAACTAAGGTCACAACTTAGGCTTTGTTCCCCATGTTATTAAGGCCTGATTTCATCTTGCTCAACACCCCCTACCCCCTGCCCCACTTCAAATTACTCCTTAAATCAAATCTTATCTCTTTTTGGCCCTCAGAAAAATTGCTGCTTTCAGCAATAAGTAGACTCAAAACCAGTAGACTCAAAACGAAGACTCAAAACCAAAACCAAAATCAAAGCCAAAACAAAACCTTTACTCAAGTAGCTCACACAAAGAAAAATAAAGAAGTGGGGCCGACTTCACTTTTGGTTGATCCATCCATTCGGTTGTGCACTTAAAACCTCAGGCCATTTCCATCTTATTTGCCATTCACAGCTTCAGCTCAGAGATGATCGTACGATAACTGCCAATTACAATTGTTGCTGCATGCTTTTGTCTACATGTCACAAGATGAGGTTATAGATGATGTAAATAGCATAATTAACACAGGAGCCCTAGTTGATATATGCTTAAACCAGAATTTGCAGCTTTCCTTCCACTGACCATGGAACATTTATAAAACTGACTACATACGAGGGTCGCCTGGGCAGCTCAGTCAGTTGAGCATCTGACTTAGACTCAAGTTATGATCACAATAAGTCTGGTTAGTATGTGTCAACATACATAGTTACAGATTTTTTTTCTTGTGATGAAAACTTCAAAGATCTTCCTCTCTTCAGTTCATTATGTCCCCTCATCCTTGGAGCCCCACATCTGGCATACTGCTGTCAGCTCAGAGCCCACTTCAGATCTTCTGTCCCCCCCCCTCTATCCCTCCTCCACTAGCACCCTCTCTCTCTCTCAAAAGTAAACATTGAAAAAAATGACAACATATGAGTCCACCAGAAAACCTCAGTTCATCTCAAAAAGTAGAAATATATAATCCACATTTCCTTTACAACATTTGGAAAAGTTCTTACTACATTAATATGGTGCATCTACTTGTACTTTACTTTTAGTGGATAGTTAGTAATTAAAATGATTATTTTTATATTAAAACACCCTTGGGGTGCATAGAAAAATGAAATATATAAATGACACACATTTTTAAAGATAAAGCAGAAAACTCAAAGAAACTGCATTCGATCAACACGTTGAGCTGCCTCTTCTATCTTCAATTCTTCATTCCTCCCTGCTTATAGAGAAACTGGCAATAACCTTGAGAAAATTTGTAAGCATATTTCTTTTCACAGTGGGGTGAAATCTCATCAGTTAATCCCTAGATCCCTAGAAAAATGCAGTTAATAGGTTTAAACGGTCATTTCTTTTCCCACCTTTTGCATAGAAAATTAATGAGTACTAGCCCAGGCTATACCCACAGGAATTTCTCTTATGATGGCATTTAGGTCCCTGGGCTGGGTCTCTTTCTTTAGAGGGCTTTATTTTAGAAAGACAGCAAAGGAAACTTCCTCAGGGCAAAGGAAATTGCGTATTCAGCGACACTGAGTTTCTTTGGGTAAAAGCTGTGTTTCATTTACTTTTGTATCCCTAGTACTTGGCTGAAGGGATGGCATACAGTAGGTGCTCCATAAATGTTTTTTTGGGTACATAATGTAAGCTTCCTCTTCCCTGTTGGCAGCTAAGTTGGATTTAGGGACCTTGAGCTTCTCCTGTGAGCACCAGTCCTCAGAGCGGTGGTCAGGGGAAAGTTTCTACTCAAGGAAAAATCCATGTGTTTCTATCTGCTCTATTTTGGCCTGGACTCTATGGCTAGGGTCGCCCCTCCCACTGGTGTTCAGAACAATCTAACTGGGAGGTGAGTGACAGAGTGCCTGTGGCTTTACCTGTCAGCAGGCATTCAAGAATAGGAAAATGGATGATTTGACATTGTTTACCTTTTTCTCCACTGTCTTCCAGGTGTGGGGGAAATTCAACAGGGGAAAGAAGGACTAGAGACATAGCTTGAGAAAAAGATAATCGGAATGCATCCTGAAGCCACCTATCCCCAAATATTCTCTCCATAGGTAGGGCCAAGCTACAAAGCAAGAGGGGGCATAGCCAGTGGGCTCCAAGAATGAGGGGACATAATGAACTAAAGAAATGAAGATCTTTGAAGTTTTCATCACACACACACAAAATCTGTAACTATGTATGTTGATAGATACTAACCAGACTTATTGTGATGATCATTTTGCAATATATACAAATACCAAAGCATTATGTTGTACATCTGAAATGAATATGTCAGTTATACTGATAAAAAAACAAATTTTTAATGAATTAAAAAATTAAGGCTAGAGTTCAAAAAAAAAAAAACTGAAGAAAAGTGATGCACCTCAGTCTACTAACCACATTAAAAAGACCATTCATAAGAAGCTAATTTGAGAATCGTTTTATTAAGAAATATATTGTGTCAATTACAAAGCAATATGTACATTTTAAAAAGTGCTTACAAATAAATAAAAAATATATTCCATAAATTTAAAAAAATATATATTTTAGCTTTAATAAAGGCAATTCAGGACCTGGTTGCATATACATCACTCTTGTCAGATAATTTTTAAAACTTGATGTATAATACTTGCACAATATTTTACTTGGACATTCTTTCAGATTGCTTCATTATGTGTACAACTTTTTGTGCACACGTTTTGCTTTTATTTTCTTTTGTACATTTTTAGCATGAGAACACAGTAAGTATCAGTATACATAGACGAAGCATCTGCCTTTTAAACAGAGGTTTACATGCTCTTGAGTTCAACCTTTTCCTTTCTCAGCCTTCTCTTTTTCCTTCTGCTGCATGTTTAGATTCTCCCCTTGAAGTAAGGCTTATGTAGTTCCAGCAGAGAATTACCGCACAGGGCCAGTGGCCCAGGCATCACTGCTACGCCAGTATCCCCCCTGCATTTGAGGGGTAGTGTTTCCCCTGCATTATAAAACCACATCACACAATAAAAGCTTACAAAAACAAGAAACCCTTCTGTAATTAAAAAAATAACTATTGGTGATCTTTTAAGTGTCACAGTTAGAGTTAACATTACATCTCCTTAATAAAGATGATTTATTTTGTTGGGGTGAAATACAGCCTGAAGGAAGGTGTATTTTGTTTCTATGAAATGCGACTGAATCGACGCCACAATTCCATTAAGTGTGAGACTTGTTCCAGGCATTTATTTGTTGTAACTTGTCTTTTCTTTCTTTTCTTCTTTGCCTGGGTATTATTTATCTGTGGAATAGGAGAATCAATCGTCAAGACTGTCACAATCTTTAACAACCACTGAGTGGCAGGGTCTTCTTTATGCAAATCCATCTCTGTGTGTCCCCCAAACACCTGCTTAGATGTGCTCCTATGTGTTTTCTCCTAGAGGAATGCCCTCCCTCCTCTCCACCCACCTACTCTTGCTTCAACGCCAAGCACCACCTCCTTTACAAGCCCTCTGCTCATTGCTCAAACTTTTCTTTTGGAAACTCTTTTGGAAACTCTTCAGAGTGTATTTCATTTAACTTGTCTCTCACATGCTGGTTTTATTATTGCATCATGGGTATTCCCAGTGGTGCTGACAACAATGTCTTTTACGTAGGAAACGCTGAATATTGAATGACCTAATAAATGATTAAGTTGGTGGTTTCATGATGTCCCTGACAAGACCATACATTCTTCAAGAACAGAGCTTATGCCTCTTTATAGATGTAATTCAGTAAACCTCTTATTTGGACCCAAAGTGCTGCTGCTTTCTGTCCCTCCTGCCACCGAAGTGTGCCACAGACTAAAAAGGAATCTAAACTTAAAAAAAAAAAAGATTGTGATAATCTTTCTGTGTATTCTTTCACCTGAATTACTCTTGAATAGTGACAGACTAGGCCTTCTGGACATGCAATATTCAGATCAATAAAATTCATCAGGTTACTAAGCAAAAATCTTACTCTAAAATCTACTGAATCTGAAATATTGGTCTTAGGCTCTCCCTTTGGGCTTGGGAGGGGGCTGAAATAAATTACTCAGACTTTCTCTTTCTCGCATGCTGTCTAGAACTTGATCTAGACTGTCTTCTATGCTCTTCTTATATGGATGAATGTCACTGTGGCTATCTGTAGATTTGCCAGCGTCTCCTTGACGGAAGACATAGAGCCAAACAGGTTTTTCACATGGCTGTGTGGTATTGAGCATTCAACTCTATGGATGTCCATATGGATGGACCATATGGCTCAATCTTTAATCCCTAAAAATGTGACAGCCTTGGCCACACAGTGTACAGACTGAGAAAGTTCACAGCAATCATACATATCTGCACTTGTCTCTGTCTTTTTTAAATTTGTCATCAGGAAGATAAATGCCCTGCTTTACTTGCATTATTTATTGAATACTCTATAAATACTTCATAAAAACGTCAATATTTATTGAATACTTGTCATTTGCCAGGCACTATTCTAAGTACTTTCACATCTATTGACTCATTTAATCCTCATAAACACTCTATATGGGACTAGCTAATGTGACTCTCATTTTGCACATGAAACTGACCACAGAGAGGCTAGAAGTTATGTCAAAATAGAAGTTTTGGGACTAGGATCCAAAGTCAGGAAAGGCTGTCTTCCAGACTTCCTTCTCCTAACTCTGCACTACTGTTTCTATTTAAAGTTACACATCCATTCAAATGCACGTAACTGCATATGCAAAAATCCACTATGTAAAGAGAGCTATACAAGCAATTAAGCAAATGTGGGGTAGAGATTTAATGTATAATTTAAAATTTTATGAAAGAAACACACATTATTTAGTGCGAAGCCCAAACAATGCTGCTCAAATTTAGGATAAGAATCTCATAAGGAGTCAATGCACAGGGATTGTGATTTTTAAGGTCTAGGTTGGGTCCCTGGGAATTGGCATTTTGGATAATTACTCTCCCATGTTTGGGCAACCAGGATATAGGTTCACTGATCATATCCTGAAACACTGCCTAAGGTTTAGAACTATAATTGGGCCAAAAGAATCAGAACCCTAGAAATAGATGGGTTTGGGGACCCTGTGTGTACTGAGTCTACAGCTGTTACAGGCTCCTTTGCTCTTCAGGATATAGGACCTGAATAAAAATCGTAATGACTTCTGCAACAGAGTGCCACTTCAAGGTTAATTCCAAGGCTTTAGAAAGCTTACCTGCATTCCTGAGTAGCCTGGGCACTGGAGAGTGAGCGTAGCGTTAGTTCTTATCGCAAAGATTTCCTTGGCCAGTGTCGTGCAGCCGTGGGTGGGATAGAAGGTAATGAGGTCGATTTTAGCGAGGCAATCTGGCTGCTCACGGGCGGCAAGGTTTACGAGAAACGCGGGAAACGCCGGGGAAAACGCCAGGAAAAACAAACAACGGAAAGAGACAAAAAAAGAGA